TCCTCCCCCCTTCCTACCCCCTCCCTACCCCCACCCCCCCCCCCCCCCCCCTCACCTTCCCCCCCCTTCCTTCCTCCCCCCCCTTCTACCCCCACCTCCCCCCCCCCCACCCCTCACCTTCCCCCCTCCCCTTCCTCCCCCCTGTCTACCCTCACCTCCCCCCCCCACCCCTCACCTTCCCCCCCCCCTTCCTACCCCCTCCCTACACCTCACCTCCCCCCCCTTCCTACCCCCTCCCCCCCCCTTCCCCCCCTTCCTACCCCCTCCCTACCCCCCCCTTCCCCCCCCCCCAACCCTCACCTTCCCCCCCCCTTCCTACCCCCCTCCCTACACCTCACCTTCCCCCCTTCCCCCCCCTCCTCCCTACACCCCACCTCCCCCCCTTCCTACCCCCTCCCTACCCCCTCCCCCTTCCCCCCCTCCCTACCCCCCCCCCCACCTCACCCCCCCCCCAACCCTCACCTTCCCCCCCTTCCCTACCCCTCCCCCCCCTCACCTCACCCCCCCCCCCTTCCTCCCCCATCTCTACACCTCACCTTCCCCCCCCCCCCCCTCACCTTCCCCCCCCCCCCCTACCCCCACCCCCCCCCCCCCCCTCACCTTCCTCCCCCTTCCCCCCCCCCCCTACCCCCCCCTCACCTCCCCCCCCCACCCCCACCCCTCCCCCCTCCTTCCCCCCCCCCCTGTCTACCCTACCCCTCACCCCCCCCCCCCCCCTCACCCTTCCCCCCCCCCTTCCCCCCTCCCTACACCTCACCTTCCCCCCCCCCCCCCCCCCTCACCTCACCCCCCCTCCTTCCTACCCCCTCCCTACACCTCACCTCCCCCCCCCCTTCCTACCCCCTCCCTACACCTCACCTTCCCCCCCTTCCTACCCCCTCCCTACACCTCACCTTCCCCCTCTACCCCTCACCCTCCCCCCTCCTTCCCCCCCCTCCCTACCCTTCACCTTCCCCCCCCCTTCCTCCCCCCTCCCTACCCTTCACCTCCCCCCCCCCTCTTCACCTTCTAATTATTTCTTCTATCTGTATCAAGATCTCTTTATCTTATAAACTCCCTTCTGACTTCTACACACCCCCCCTCTTGTTCTAATTAATTCTGAATATATTTCCGATGTTTTTTAAAATTCGTCCAACTCCACCATATTTTCCAAAATGTTCCCATTTTATCCTGTTCCTTATGTCATAGTTCCCTGCCAAAATGTAGGAATCTCACCCTTTGCTGCGCTGATTAAGTGATATAATAGTTTATTTTTATGTGTTTCCACTGCGGGTTCAAAATAATAAAATAAACATTTCCACGGGTCTCTCTGAAAATTTACTTGAATGAGTTGAGCTACAGTGAAGGAAATGTGTATTTGCCCCCCCTGATGCTGAATGTTCGCCCCTCACACAGAAATGATCGGTCTAACAATGGAATGTTCGCCCCTCACACAGAAACGATCGGTCTAACAATGGAATGTTCGCCCCTCACACAGAAACGATCGGTCTAACAATGGAATGTTCGCCCCTCACACAGAAACGATCGGTCTAACAATGGAATGTTCGCCCCTCACACAGAAATGATCGGTCTAACAATGGAATGTTCGCCCCTCACACAGAAACGATCGGTCTAACAATGGAATGTTCGGTGTAACACTGAGAGACAGAATACAACAACAAATTCAGCAGAAATGCGTCTAACAAATGATGACTGATCTGCATGTTCATGAGGGAAAGAAGGATTGGATCCCCTTCACAAAACATGACTTAGTACTTGGTGGCCAATTCCTTGTTGGCAATCACAGAGGTCAGACGTTTCCTGGAGTTGGCCCCCAGGTTCGCACACATCTCAGGAGGGATTTTGGCCCACTCCTCTTGGCAGATCCTCTCCAAGTCATTAAGGTTTGGTGGCTGACGTTTGACAACTCGAACTTTCAGCTCCCTCCACAGATTTTCAATCGGATGAAGGTCTGGAGACTGGCTAGGCCACTCCAGGACCTTAATGTGCTTCTTCTTGAGCCGCTCCTTTGTTGCCTTGGCCGTGTGTTTTGGGTCATTGTCATGCTGGAACACCCATCCACCACCCATTTTCAATGCCCTGGCTGAGGGAAGAAGATTCTCACCCAAGATTTGAGGGTACATTGCCCCGTCCATCGTCCCTTTGATGCGGTACAGTTGTCCTGTCCCCTTAGCAGAAAAAAACACCCCCAAAGCAGAATGTTTCCACCACCATGTTTCACAGTTGGGATGGTGTTCTTGGGGTCATAGGCAGCATTCCTCCTCCTCCAAACACGGCGAGTTGAGTTGATGCCAAAGAGCTGGATTTTGGTCTCCTCTGACCACAACACTTCCCACCAGTCCTCCTCTGCATCATTCAGATGTTCAGTGGCAGACTTCAGACGGGCCTGGACATGTGCTTTCTTGAGCAGAGGGACCTTGCGGGCACTGCAGGATTTCAGTCCTTGTCGGCGTAGTGTGTTACCAATTGTTTTCTTGGTCACTGTGGTCCCAGCTGCCTGGAGATCATTGACAAGATCCTCACGTGTAGTTCTGGGATGATTCCTCACTGTTCTCATGATCATTGACACTCCACGAGGTGAGATCTTGCATGGTGCACCAGACCTAGGGAGACTGACACTTGTTTTGTGTTTCTTCCATTTGTGAATGATTGCACCAACTGTTGTCACCTTCTCACCAAGCTGCTTGGCCATAGTTTGGTAGCCCAGTCCAGCCTTGTGTAGGTCTACCATCTTGTCCCTGACATCCTTGGACAGCTCTTTGGTCTTTGCCATGGTGGAGAGTTTGGAATCTGATGGTTTGATGGCTCCTGTGGACAGGTGTCTTTTATACAGGTAACACAATGAGATTAGCAGCACTCCCTTTAAGAGACTGCTTCTAATCTCAGCTTGTTACCTGTATGAGAGACACCTGGGAGCCAGAAATCCTGCTGAATGATAGGGGATCAAATCCTTCTTTCCCTCATGAACATGCAGATCCGTCATCATTTGTTAGACGCATTTCTGCTGAATTTGTTGTTGTATTCTGTCTCTCAGTGTTACACCGAACATTCCATTGTTAGACCGATCGTTTTCTGTGTGAGGGGCGAACATTCCATTGTTAGACCGATCGTTTCTGTGTGAGGGGCGAACATTCCATTGTTAGACCGATCATTTCTGTGTGAGGGGCGAACATTCCATTGTTAGACCGATCGTTTCTGTGTGAGGGGTGAACATTCCATTGTTAGAACCGATCGTTTCTGTGTGAGGGGCGAACATGCCATTGTTAGACCGATCATTTCTGTGTGAGGGGCGAACATTCCATTGTTAGACTGATCATTTCTGTGTGAGGGGCGAACATTCCATTGTTAGACTGATCATTTCTGTGTGAGGGGCGAACATTCCATTGTTAGACCGATCATTTCTGTGTGAGGGGCGAACATTTCCATTGTTAGACGATTCATTTCTGTGTGAGGGGCGAACATTCCATTGTTAGACCGATCATTTCTTGTGTGAGGGATCATTTCTTGTGAGGGGGGGGGGGGGACGGAAACATTCCATTGTTAGACCGATCATTTCTGTGTGAGGGGCGAACATTCAGCATCAGCAGGGGGGCAAATACGCATTTCCTTCACTGTATATCCCTCCAAAAATTCTGTATTTTCGGACAACTCTCCTGCAACCCACTGAGAAATACTGAGTGAGCTGTGATTGGTCACAGCTTATCACATGGTACAAGGCTGTTGTGAATGGCCCTGTACCATGTGATCTCTGTGATCATTCACGTAGTAAAGCAATGATGTCAGAAGTGACATCTTGCTTACTACTCTGCATGTGATCACTGATTGGCCAAACAGTGATCACAATGATCGGATCTCGCACAGACGTCTCGTACAACGATTGGTGTTCCACTGTGTCCGGAGGACACAGCGGGCACCGGATCGCGGTGCTGCACGCTCCCAGGGAGCACACACAGCTTGAAAATGCTGGTGCCGTTTATGAACGGGAACCTGCCCCCTGGACTGCCACCGTCCGGCCGTTTATATAGAGCGGCCGGGCGGCAAGTGGTTAAATTAGTACATAAGGCGACAAATATGCGCACGGTAGAATGAACTATAAATGTACAACTAGATGGTACATAACACCAAGCGCAGCCCATAAGCAGCAAGCAGAAGATCCCCCCCGTGGTGCTGGAGAGGCTGTGGAGAAACGGAACAATGGGAGCATATATGGTGGAAGAATCACATTTCCAAGACATTGAGATGTTAAAACAATGTAATTCCAGCCGGTCTTTCATGGGGCCTGTTGTATGAAGCATTTGATTTGACTTTTTTTTAATGATTTTTATTGCTGTGTTTTTATACCAGTTTTATAGAGGGTGTCTTCAGACAGGCGTACTGTTTTTGGTTCAGTGTTCCTCCCACGTTTTGGAAGGCTGTGGGAGAAAACTAATAGATGTCTATGGGGAGGCACAGCCTTTAAAAAAAACATAATGTGTGTTATAGCAGCCTTTCCCAAGCAGGCTCCTCAATTGCTGACGGTTCCGTGAGTTCCAATGAGCAATGCCTGTCTCTCAGATAAGTGACCACTGACACCACTGACCACTGACACCACTGATCACTGACACCACTGACCACTGACACCACTGATCACTGACACCACTGACCACTGACACCACTGATCACTGACACCACTGACCACTGACACCACTGACCACTGACACCACTGATCCTATTAGATGTCTGTAAGAGGTATTTTACTTATTACCTCCAATGTAAGGGACATTCTTCCCACTGACCCCCCAATGTAAGGGACATTCTTCCCACTGACCCCCAAAGTAAGGGACATTTCCTTCCCACTGACCCCCCAATGTAAGGGACATTTCTTCCCACTGATCACCAATGTAAGGGACATTCTTCCCACTGACCCCCCCCAAAGTAAGGGACATTCTTCCCACTGACCCCCAATGTAAGGGACATTCTTCCCACTGAACCCCCAATGTAAGGGACATTCTTCCCTCTGATCTCCAATGTAGGGGACATTCTTCCCACTGACCCCAATGTAAGAGACATTCTTCCCACTGACCCCCAATGTAAGGGACATTCTTCCCACTGACCCCCAATGTAAGGGACATTCTTCCCACTGACCACCAATGTAAGGGACATTTCTTCCCCTGACCCCCAATGTAAGGGACATTCTTCCCACTGACCCCCAATGTAAGGGACATTCTTCCACTGACAGCCCAATGTAAGGGACATTCTTCCCACTGACCACCAATGTAAGGGACATTCTTCCCACTGACCCCCAATGTAAAGGGACATTCTTCCCACTGACCCCCAATGTAAGGGACATTCTTCCCACTGACCACCAATGTAAGGGACATTCTTCCCACTGACCCCCAATGTAAGGGACATTCTTCCCCCTGACCACCAATGTAAGGGACATTCTTCCCACTGACCCCCAATGTAAGGGACATTCTTCCCCCTGACCACCAATGTAAGGGACATTCTTCCCACAGACCCCCAATGTAAGGGACATTCTTCCCACTGATCCCCAATGTAAGGGACATTCTTCCCACTGACCCCCAATGTAAGGGACATTCTTCCCACTGACCCCCAATGTAAGGGACATTCTTCCACTGACCCCAATGTAAAGGACATTCTTCCCACTGACCCCCAATGTAAGGGGACATTCTTCCCACTGACCCCCAATGTAAGGGACACGTTCTTCCCCCTTCCCCAATGTAAGGGACATTCTTCCCACTGACCCCAATGTAAGGGACATTCTTCCCACTGACCCCCAATGTAAGGGACATTCTTCCCACTGACCCCCAATGTAAGGGACATTCTTCCCACTGACCCCCAATGTAAGGGACATTCTTCCACTTGATCCCATGTGACTTCCCACTGACCCCCAATGTAAGAGACATTCTTCCCCCTGACCACCAATGTAAGGGACATTTCTTCCCACAGACCCCAATGTAAGGGACATTCTTCCCACTGATCCCCAATGTAAGGGACATTCTTCCCACTGACCCCCAATGTAAGGGACATTCTTCCCACTGACCCCCAATGTAAGGACATTCTTCCCGCTGACCCCCAATGTAAGGGACATTCTTCCCACTGACCCCCAATGTAAGGGACGTTCCTTCCACTGACCCCAATGTAAGGGACATTCTTCCCACTGACCACCAATGTAAGGGACATTCTTCCCACTGACCCCCAATGTAAGGGACATTCTTCCCACTGATCACCAATGTAAGGGACATTCATTCTTCCCACTGATTCTTCCCCCCAATGTAGGGGACATTCTTTCCCACTGACCCCCAATGTAAGCGACATTCTTCCCCCAATTGACCCCCAATGTAAGAGGGACATTCTTCCCACTGACCACCAATGTAAGGGACGTTCTTCCCACTGACATTCCCAATGTAAGCGACATTCTTCCACTGACCCCCAATGTAAGGGACGTTCTTCCCACTGACCCCCAATGTAAGGGACATCCTTCATTTTTCTTCCCACTGACCCCAATGTAAGGGACATTCTTCCCACTGATCACCAATGTAAGGGACATTCTTCCCACTGACCACCAATGTAAGGGACATTCTTCTCACTGACCACCAATGTAAGGACATTCTTCCCCCATGACCCCCAATGTAAGGGACATTCTTCCCACTGACCACCAATGTAAGGGACATTCTTTCCCACCTGATCACCAATGTAAGGGACACTGATCACCAATGTAAGGGACATTCTTCCCCACTGACCACCAATGTAACGGAGGCATTTCTCCATCATCCCACCAATGTAAGGTTTACATTTCTCTATTGACCTCCAATATAAGGGACAATTCTTTCCCATTAACTACCAATGCAAGATGGCATTTCTCCGTTGACCACAAAATGTAAGGGGTAATTTCTCTCTATTGACCTCCAATATCAGGGAAATTTCTTCATTGACTTCCATTGTAAGGGGCAATTTCTCCACTGAACACCAATGTAAGGAGGCATTTTTCCATCATCCTTCATTGTTAGATACATTTCTCTATTGACCTCCAATGTAAGGAGGTATTTCTCTATTGACCTCCAAAATAAGGGGGATTTTTCTATTGACCACCAATGTACACAGGCCTTTCTCCATTGAACACCAATGTAAGAGACAATTATCTATTAAATACCAATGAAAGGGGAACTTTCTCCATTGACCTTCATTTCAAGGGGGGGTTTCTCCATTGACCTCCCATCTAAAGGGGCATTTCTCCACTGACCTTGAATGTAAGAGAGAATTTCTCCATTGACCACCAATGTAAGAAGGCATTTCTCCATCGTCCTTAAATGTAAGGTGTGTTTCTCGAGTGACCTCCAATGTAAGCTGGCATTTCTCCATTGGGCCACCAAGGTAAGGAGTCATTTCTCCATGGTCCTCCATTGTAAGGTGTATTTCTCCATTGTTCTCCATTGTAAACTGTATTTCTCCATGGTTCTCCATTGTAAGGTGTATTTCTCCATGGTCCTCCATTGTAAGGTGTATTTCTCCATGGTCCTCCATTGTAAGGTGCATTTCTCCATGGTCCTCCGATGTAAGGTGTATTTCTCCATGGTCCTCCATTGTAAGGTGCATTTCTCCATGGTCCTCCATTGTAAGGTGTATTTCTCCATGGTTCTCCATTGTAAGGTGTATTTCTCCATGGTCCTCCATTGTAAGGTGTATTTCTCCATGGTTCTCCATTGTAAGGTGTATTTTTCCATGGTCCTCCATTGTAAGGTGTATTTCTCCATGGTCCTCCATTGTAAGGTGTATTTCTCCATGGTCCTCCATTGTAAGGTGCATTTCTCCATGGTCCTCCGATTGTAAGGTGTATTTCTCCATGGTCCTCCATTGTAAGGTGCATTTCTCCATGGTCCTCCATTGTAAGGTGTATTTCTCCATGGTCCTCCATTGTAAGGTGTATTTCTCCATGGTCCTCCATTGTAAGGTGCATTTCTCCATGGTCCTCTGATGTAAGGTGTATTTCTCCATGGTCCTCCATTGTAAGGTGCATTTCTCCATGGTCCTCCATTGTAAGGTGTATTTCTCCATGGTCCTCCATTGTAAGGTGTATTTCTCCATGGTCCTCCATTGTAAGGTGTATTTCTCCATGGTCCTCCATTGTAAGGTGCATTTCTCCATGGTCCTCCATTGTAAGGTGCATTTCTCCGTAGTCCTCCATTGTAAGGTGCATTTCTCCGTATGGTCCTCCATTGTAAGGTGTATTTCTCCATGGTCCTCCGATGTAAGGTGCATTTCTCCATGGTCCTCCATTGTAAGGTGTATTTCTCCATGGTCCTCCATTGTAAGGTGTATTTCTCCGTGGTCCTCCATTGTAAGGTGTATTTCTCCATGGTCCTCCATTGTAAGATGTAGTTCTCCATGGTCCTCCATTGTAAGATGTATTTCTCCATGGTCCTCCATTGTAAGGTGTATTTCTCCATGGTCCTCCATTGTAAGGTGCATTTCTCCATGGTCCTCCATTGTAAGGTGTATTTCTCCATGGTCCTCCATTGTAAGGTGCATTTCTCCGTAGTCCTCCATTGTAAGGTGTATTTCTCCGTAGTCCTCCATTGTAATGTGTATTTCTCCATGGTCCTCCATTGTAAGGTGCATTTCTCCATGGTCCTCCATTGTAAGGTGTATTTCTCCATGGTCCTCCATTGTAAGGTGTATTTCTCCATGGTCCTCCATTGTAAGGTGTATTTCTCCATGGTCCTCCATTGTAAGGTGCATTTCTCCATGGTCCTCCATTGTAAGGTGTATTTCTCCATGGTCCTCCATTGTAAGGTGCATTTCTCCATGGTCCTCCATTGTAAGGTGTATTTCTCCATGGTCCTCCATTGTAAGGTGCATTTCTCCATGGTCCTCCATTGTAAGGTGCATTTCTCCATGGTCCTCTGATGTAAGGTGTATTTCTCCATGGTCTTCCATTGTAAGGTGCATTTCTCCATGGTCCTCTGATGTAAGGTGTATTTCTCCATGGTCCTCCATTGTAAGGTGCATTTCTCCATGGTCCTCCATTGTAAGGTGTATTTCTCCATGGTCCTCTGATGTAAGGTGCATTTCTCCATGGTCCTCCATTGTAAGGTGCATTTCTCCATGGTCCTCCATTGTAAGGTGCATTTCTCCATGGTCCTCCATTGTAAGGTGCATTTCTCCATGGTCCTCCATTGTAAGGTGCATTTCTCCATAGTCCTCCATTGTAAGGTGCATTTCTCCATGGTCCTCCATTGTAAGGTGCTTTTCTCCATGGTCCTCCATTGTAAGGTGCATTTCTCCATGGTCCTCCATTGTAAGGTGCATTTCTCCATGGTCCTCTGATGTAAGGTGTATTTCTCCATGGTCTTCCATTGTAAGGTGTATTTCTCCATGGTCCTCTGATGTAAGGTGTATTTCTGCATGGTCCTCCATTGTAAGGTGCATTTCTCCATGGTCCTCCATTGTAAGGTGTATTTCTCCATGGTCCTCTGATGTAAGGTGCATTTCTCCATGGTCCTCCATTGTAAGGTGTATTTCTCCATGGTCCTCTGATGTAAGGTGCATTTTCTCCATGGTCTTCCATTGTAAGGTGCATTTCTCCATGGTCCTCTGATGTAAGGTGCATTTCTCCATGGTCCTCCATTGTAAGGTGCATTTCTCCGTAGTCCTCCATTGTAAGGTGTATTTCTCCGTAGTCCTCCATTGTAAGGTGTATTTCTCCATGGTCCTCCATTGTAAGGTGCATTTCTCCGTAGTCCTCCATTGTAAGGTGTATTTCTCCATGGTCCTCCATTGTAAGGTGTATTTCTCCATGGTCCTCCATTGTAAGGTGCCATTCTCCATGGTCCTCCATTGTAAGGTGCATTTCTCCATGGTCCTCCATTGTAAGGTGCATTTCTCCATGGTCCTCCATTGTAAGGTGCATTTCTCCGTAGTCCTCCATTGTAAAGTGCATTTCTCCATGGTCCTCCATTGTAAGGTGCATTTCTCCATGGTCCTCCATTGTAAGGTGCATTTCTCCATGGTCCTCCATTGTAAGGTGCATTTCTCTATTGACCATCAAGGTGAGGAGGCATTTCTCTATCATCCCCCAATATAAGATTTATTTCTCTCCTGACCACCAATGTGGGGGAAACATTTATTTATTTATTTCATTACATTTTTCACTGTTCCCCAAGGCTTGAAAATTATTTTAAGGGTTGCTCTGTATTAAAAACACAGGCTGTGCTAAAGAAACTATAATGTGCCTCGCATTGCAGCGTCACTTATTTACTCGGCACCCCAATGTACATACACTGTAAGGAGAAAAGCATCTGTTTTCTTAGCACCACAACACACAGATGTCATTGCAATGCGTGTTGTGGTGCACCGCATTCTCAAAGATAGTACTGGTGCATTGTCTGCTCCACTAGACATGCTGAGACCATGTTCAGAGGGAAGAGGCCTCCCCAACCCAACCCAACGCATGCATCGTAACACAACACAGATGTGCGACTAAGCCCTGACTGCGCCTCCACCTGGTCCTGCAGAGCGTCACTTCCTGAGCGGTGCTTCACAACTCACAAATGTGTGTGCCTGTTATATTCTGTGCAGGATCTTAATGATAAGCGCACCGCGCCGGGTACAGCTAAGCCGTTCGGTCTGTTTTCATGGGAAGGGTATTGATGTCTTTCATTAGTCATTCTCTATACGTTAATACATTAAACCCCCCACTTCCCAAAATCTGTTTCTCCAAATAACATCGGGTACTTTCCAGACCAAACATCGGCACTTTGTTCAAAAAGGGCAAGTTCCTTATTTTTCTGAAAAGTTTCTGCAGATCGTTCCTCCCACAACACAACTATGATACTGTATATGTGGGTGACATCTCCTATGTATCCTCTGTTATCCGCTCTAGCTCTATGGATCACTGTATACATCACAGGGGAATTCTGGGAAGGGATCATCTGCACTGATTGTAGCAATATGTTATATTCTAAATTTTCATTTTCTCACCGAGCGCTGGAAGCCTTGTTCAGGCAGACTGGGGAGACGTGTGCTAACGCAGAGCGGAGGGATGGCTTCATTACAGTTCTGCGCCTACTTTACTATCCAATCACAGGCTAGGGGTGGGGAGGAGACCAATTGCTATTACTCTAGCTTCAGTATAGAAAAATCAGGTCATATATATATATACACTATATTGCCAAGAGTAGTGGGACACCCCTAAAATCATGTGATTCAGGTGTTCCAATCCCCTCCCAATCATGTGATTCAGGTGTTCCAATCCCCTCCATATCATGTGACTCAGGTGTCCCAATCCCCTCCCAATCATGTGATTCAGATGTTCCAATCCCCTCCATATCACGTGATTCAGATGTTCCAATCCCCTCCATATCATGTGAATCAGGTGTTCCAATCCCCTCCCAATCATGTGATTCAGGTGTTCCAATCCCCTCCATATCATGTGAATCAGGTGTTCCAATCCCCTCCCAATCATGTGATTCAGGTGTTCCAATCCCCTCCCATATTATGTGAATCAGGTGTTCCAATCCCCTCCATATCATGTGATTCAGGTGTTCCAATCCCCTTCCAATCATGTGGTTCAGGTGTTCCAATCCCCTCCATATCATGTGAATCAGTTGTTCCAATCACCTCCATATCATGTGATTCAGGTGTTCCAATCCCCTTCCAATCATGTGATTCAGGTGTTCCAATCCCTTCCAATCATGTGATTCAGGTGTTCCAATCCCCTCCATATCATGTGATTCAGGTGTTCCAATCCCCTTCCAATCATGTGATTCAGGTGTTCCAATCCCTTCCAATCATGTGATTCAGGTGTTCCAATCCCCTCCATATCATGTGATTCAGGTGTTCCAATCCCCTCCATGGACACAGGTGTATACAATCAAGCCCCTAGGCATGCAGACGGCTTCTACAAACATTGGTGAAAGAATGGGTCGCTCTCAGGAGCTCAGTGACTCCAAGCGTGGTCCCGTGATAGGTGGCCACCTGGGCAATAAGTCCATCCGTGACATTTCCTGGCTACTAAATATTCCACGCTCAACTGTTAGTGGGATTATAACAAAGTGGAAGAATCTGGGAACAGTAGCAACTCAGCCACCAAGTGGTAGGCCACGTCACATGACAGGGCGGGGTCAGCACATGCTGAAGCGCACAGTGCGCAGAAGTCACCAACTGTCTGCAGAGTCAATAGCTAAAGACCTCCAAACTTGGTGTGGCCTTCAGATGAGCCCAACAACAGTGCGTAGAGAGCTTCATGGAATGGGTTTCCATGGCCGAGCAGCTGCATCCAAGCCTTCCATCACCAAGTGCAATGCAAAGCGTCGGATGCCGTGGTGTAAAGCACGCCGCCACTGGACTCTAGAGCAGAGGAGATGTGTTCTCTGGAGGGACCAATCATGCTTCTTTGTCTGGAAATCCGATGAACGTGTCTGGGTTTGGCGGTTGCCAGGAGAACGGTACTTGCCTGACTGCATTGTGCCAAGTGCAAAGTTTGGTGGAGGGGAGGATTATGGTGTGGGGTTGTTTTATTGAGGGGTTGGTCTTGGCCCCCTAGTTCCAGTGAAGGGAGTCTTAAGGCGACATGTTGCACAATTTCATGCTCCCAACTTTGTTGGAAGAGTTTGGGGATGGCCCCTTCCTGTTCCAACATGACTGCCCACCAGTGCACAAAGCAAGGTCCATAAAGACATGGAGGAGCCAGTTTGGGGTGGAGGAACTTGACTGTCCTGCACAGAGTCCTGACCTCAACCCCATAGAACACCTTTGGGATGAATTAGAGCGGAGACTGCGAGCCAGGCCTCCTCCCCCGACATCAGTGCCTGACCTGACAAATGTGCTTCTGGAAGAATGGTCCAACCTTCCCATAGACACCCTCCTAAACCTTGTGGACGGCCTTCCCAGAAGCTGTTATAGCTGCAAAGGGCGGGGCCAACTATATATTGAACCCTACAGACTAAGACTGGGGGGGCCATTAAAGGTCATGTGCGTGGAAAGGGCGGGGCCAACTCAATATTGAACCCTACGGACTAAGACTGGGAGGCCATTAAAGTTCATGTGCGTGGAAAGGGCGGGGCCAACTCAATATTGAACCCTACGGACTAAGGCTGGGAGGTCATTAAAGTTCATGTGCGGGGAAAGGGCGGGGCCAACTCAATATTGAACCCTACGGACTAAGACTGGGAGGTCATTAAAGTTCATGTGCGGGGAAAGGCAGGTGGCCCGATACATTTGGCAATATAGCCATATCAGCATTATGGTTGCCTTCAAATGACTAGTTTTATCGGTAAGGGTAACCTTGTGAGGTTTTTTTAATTTTACTTTTAAAGAAAAGAAGTCCAAAAGTACTTCCCCCTGGCTGGACTGGAGTTGATGAAAAGTACTAGATTTGAGTGAAGCTCTTAGGGTTTGTTGGTGAAGAATATGGTGGAGGATGCGGGCAGATTAGTAGTCGCTGCCGCAAAGTGAGTGTTCTATGAACCGTTGTTTCTGGCATGAGACATCACGATCTGGGTGCGCTGGTGAACAGAACCTGCAGGAGCCACAAGCCCTTAGAGGGACAGTGCTCCATGTTTGTTCCTGAACTGTGGAAAATCGATGTGGGCTGTGCGGTGGAGTGACTGCATATATGGGGTGATCAATGAAAAAGGACGACTTTCAAGAGATGAGAGAGTGAATTCTGTGGCTGGAGGGGACGTCTCCAATGCCAAAATCTTTTTTTGCGGAGCTTTGGATACAATGGTGAGGGATTAGAACCCAGACAGTTTCTTATATCTACCTGTGTCCCCAATGGGGAGGTTCACCCTCTCTGTTCGTTCTGGTGACATCCGTCTAAGAGGGGATTTCCCTTCATTTGGGTGGGTTTTCTCTCACTTCCTGTTCTTAATATGGGACAGGAAGTGAAGTAATTCATTCCAGTGGAAAACACTGGAGAAAAAAAACGGACAGAAGTGTCAGTTCTGGGGTCTGTACACCCACTGTGTCCATTATGAGGGGTTCCCACCATCCCTTTGCCAAGTTCCCGGGTCTGTACACCTGCTGTGCCCATTATGAAGGGTTCCCGCCATCCCAGTTCTGGGGTCTGTATACCCACTGTGTCCATTATGAGGGGTTCCCACCATCCATGTGCTGAGTTCCCGGGTCTGTACACTCGCTGTGCCCATTATGAGGGGTTCCCACCATCCCTATGCCAAGTTCCTGGGTCTGTACACCTGCTGTGCCCATTATGAGGGTTCCCCACCATCCCTGTGCCAAGTTCCCGGGTCTGTACACCTGCTGTGCCCATTATGAGGGGTTACCACCATCCCTGTGCCGAGTTCCCGGGTCTGTACACCTGCTGTGCCCATTATGAGGGGTTCCCACCATCCCTGTGCCGAGTTCCCGGGTCTGTACACCTGCTGTGCCCATTATGAGGGGTTCCCCACCATCCCTGTGCCGAGTTCCCGGGTCTGTACACCTGCTGTGCCCATTATGAGGGGTTCCCACCATCTCTGTGCCGAGTTCCCGGGTCTGTACACCTGCTGTGCCCATTATGAGGGGTTCCCCACCATCCCTGTGCCGAGTTCCCGGGTCTGTACACCTGCTGTGCCCATTATGAGGGGTTCCCACCATCCCTGTGCTGAGTTCCCGGGTCTGTACACCTGCTGTACCCATTATGAGGGGTTCCCACCATCCCTATTGGAGTTGAATGTAACAAGAGGAGCTGGAATTCCCAAGGGGGGGTGGGGGTCACCTAAAAACCCCCAGACGGAGAGGATTAGAGGTCCTTATTGAGGTTTTTGGTTTTTATTCTTCGTCTTGAAAAGCTTTTAGTTGTTCCTAATGACAGCAGAGTTCGGTGGCTTTGTGGTATTATTTTTGGATCTTCTCATAGAGTGTTGAGCAACACTGAAAGCACTTTTCTTTGTGAGTCTCATTAACCATTTCCTCTGTACGGATTGTTACTTCTAAGCAGTACATGAGGATGTTACCAGCCTGCATTAGACGTAGGGGGTTAATTTCAGTGCTGGCCGGGATGACCAGAATCTCTGAGGGCAATCAATGTCCACTACAAAAGCTGGCCATCCTCTGTCACAAGAGGTTGTACCTGTCCCTGCTGGGGGCTCCTCAATCCCCTCACTAAGACACTGATGGGATCCTGGGGTTATGTTCTCATGCACCCACATGTACCGTCCCTGCTGGTTGTACGTCCCCTTCCTTTCTGGTTGTACCGTCCCTGCTGGTTGTACCGTCCTGCTGGTTGTACCGTCCCTGCTGGTTGTGGTTGTACCGTCCCTGCTGGTTGTATGTCCCTGTCCCTGCTGGTTGTACGTCCCTTCTGGTTTTACCGTCCCTACTGCTGGTTGTACCGTCCCTGCTGGTTGTACCATCCCTGCTGGTTGTACGTTCCTTCTGGTTTTACCATCCCTGCTGGTTGTACTGTCCCTGCTGGTTGTATGTACCGTCCTGCTGGTTGTACGTCCCTTCTGGTTTTACCGTCCCTGCTGGTTGTATGTCCCTGCTGGTTGTACATCCCTTCTGGGTTTTACCGTCCCTGCTGGTTGTACCGTCCCTGCTGGTTTGTCCCGTCCCTGCTGGTTGTATGTCCCTGCTGGTTGTACCGTCCCTGCTGGTTGTACCATCCCTGCTGGTTGTACCGTCCCTGCTGGTTGTACGTCCCTGCTGGTTGTACGTCCCTGCTGAGCTGAGTCAGGAGCTGGGATACAACTAGGCAGCCTGGCTGGAGAGAATGGCTATGGGGTCTTTAGGCCCCTTCCACACTGGTGTTCCGGATGTCTGTTTTTGGATGAAAAACGGACCCCCATATATTTCTATGGACTAGCGTATATAAACGGATGATCATCTGTTTACATCCATTAATGTCCACATCTGTTAACATCCATTTTTTTCATCAGTTTTCCATCCGTTTGCATCCATTTACATCTGTTTTTCATCCATTTATATCTGTTTTTGTCCGTTTACATCAGTTAACATCCGTTTTTTTTTGAACGGAAGAAAACCCTATTTTTCTTCCGTAAAAAAAAAAAAACAAACGGATGTAAATGGATGAAAAACAGATGTAAATGGATGCAAGTGGACAAAAACGGATGTAAACAGATGAAAAACGGATGTAAACAATGAAAAAACGGATGTAAACTGATCCATTTTTGCTTGGAAAAAAATGTGACTGAACTGATGAAAAAAACTATGGAAAATGGTCAGCACTTCCGCCTGGCAGTACTCGGGTCGTCTGTTTGAATCCCAACCACGGCACCACCTGCCTGGAGTTTGCATGTTCTCCCCGTGCCTGCGTGGGTACTCTGGTTTCCTCCCACACTCCAAAGACATGCTGGTTGTTTAATTGGCTCCTGTCTAAATTGGCCCTAGTATGTGTATGTATGATTTGGAGTTAGGTACCTTAGATTGTAAGATTCCTGAGGGCGGGGACTAATATGGAAGTATAATATATGTAAAGCACTTTGTAAAGTGATGGTGATATAGAAGTATCTGTAATAAATAAAGTCATGAGGTGGAAGAGCTTCACTGGCATGGCAATAGAGAGCAGAGCCTCAAGAACAGAGCTCTGAGCTGCGGAGCCGTGTTCGGGACCTCCAAGGGTGGGACTTCTGGTGGAAAGGACTGCATGGTAATGCAGCTGAACAGGGGGGAGGCCTGACCTCTCATCTGGCCTTTGGGGGACGGACCAGGACCAGTTTCTTTGGTGGGAGGCTTCATGGCCACTTGAGTCTGTTATAATGTAATTGAGCCCTCCAACTAAACCACCAGGGCCCCAACGCAGGCGGCCTGTTTATAGGGCCACTGGCCCAGTGATATAGGTAGGGCCTCTTGTGTGTAGATAGACATTGGCTGTACCTGACATTGCTGTTCATCGCTGTTCATCGCTTTTCATCGCCCCAACAAACCCTTCTATCTTGCAGAGATTTTTGTTTGTTAATAAAGCCCAATTTTCACTACAGGTGGAGTTCTGGCTCAGTTCAGGGTGGATCATCACTGGGGGAAGACAGAGGAACCCATTTATCCAGTGGCTCCTTTAGAGGTAGTGCTATGTTTCTATATCCTCAACAATCTTCCGTAACCGCTTAAGGACCGCCCTATAGCAGATATACGGCTACAGGGCGGCACCTGTGCGTAGGATCACGTGTATATACGTCATTCTGCATTTCCAGGTAGGAGGCGCGCGCGAGCCGAACGCACGCCCTACCCGCGCCGCCATTCAAGGCCACGGATGTCAATCACCGGGTCCCGGACAGTAATTACCCGCAGGCACCCAGTGATTA